TAATGGAGTTCTAGGAGGTCTGCACCAAGGGTTTTTAAGCTTCGGGGAATTAGGAGCTCAGTCAGGGGTATGCATGGTAGTTCTGAACCCCGTTGCCTCAAGAGGGAGGAAAGACGGAGAAAGAGGAACATAAGCAGTTATGTAATTTAGCAAAAATAAGGCAATAAACAAGCTTTATGGAAACAGGGGCTTCTTGGTAGAGGTTCGTACAACATGGCCTCCAAAGATGTAATTGTAATGAACCTTAGCATCAGGTTGCTTACTCTCTTTCCCAAATCTAGTAAACCTCTTGTCATTGTAAGGAATGTCAAGTCCACTATCCAATGCTCCCTTTGGGGTGGGCTCTACTTTAAGATTTTCAAAAACAGAAAAGATCAAGAATCAGATGTACAAAAATAGAAGGTTAACATCCATAAGACTCTAGACCAAGTAGCCTCAACATTCCCTTGATACTCCTCATCCATCTCAAGCAATAACAGTCCTCGATTGTCCAGCAGAAGTTCAAGGCAATAAGCTGCAATATAACATGAGAGATTAACTACGGGTCCATGGTAGAGCTCGGCGATCCTGGAAGACTCTCTGAGGTCCCAAACATTCAGATATTTATGAGTTAAGTGTAGCTTGTATGGCTGCACGGACCTTCCGAGGCAACTCCTAACTATTCAAACAAGTAGCATACTCTCTTCGACCAAATACAAGCATGATAATCTCCCAAAGTCAAATCTCAATTCCTTTTCTCTCAAAAGAGCTCAGGAAGCCAGTAGACTTGCAGTTCCAACAACTTTGCTTTGAGAGGAACTCAGTTTCCCTCAAAGAAATGGGGGGCAATGAGAGTACAGAGCAGTACGCAAGCAGCTAACCACAAAATAATGAGAGTAGATTTTAGAAAAGCAGAGTAGACTACATTGAAGAGCAAGTTGGATTGTGTTATCGTATTGAGCGGAATAGACTGTATTNATCAGAGTAGATTGCATTGAAGAGCAAGTTGAATTGTGTTATCGTATTGAGCGGAGTATACTGTATTAAAAGAGCGAGTAAGATTGTGTTAGAAAGAAATTAGAGAAAGAGGAAAAAATCAGTGCGTTTACCATTTAGACGACTCAGGAAAGCATGCCAAGTTTACATTCTCCAATAGAAGTTACAAATGCTTAAAAAAAAAAAAGAATAAGAAGGAATTAAAAGATCCTAAGTTTCTGAAGAGTGAACATGTGGAGGATCCTGCAATGAAGTTACTATAGCCTCAGCAGCAGGAACAATGGTAGAGCTCGGTAGCTCACCAGACAACCCTTCTGGCAAGGCAGCAGTTGAAATCTCAGAAGAGCCAAGAATAGGTGAGGAGGATGAGGCCTCAATCTTAGGCAGAGCTCTCATTACCAGATCAGCAAAAAAGGACGTATTAGTAGGAACAGCTAGAGGAGTGGACATTTTAGTACCTTCCAGAGCCCTATCAGAGGCAGCAGGAGCCAAGGTGCTGTCATCGCCCTCTGAATCAAACTCCTGCAACTCCTCCTCAGTAAGGATGACAAAGTCAAAGTTGAGGTCTGGGTAGGCCTTCTCCGCTTTACGTTGAAAGGCCAGCCATCCTGAGGCCCACTTGGTGGTGACATCATCCTTCAGCTCGACTATTATGTCATTCCTCTCCTTGACAGCTGTCTTCTACACCTCGAGCTTAACTCATGGACTCTCGTTCGTCTCAGCCAGTATAACATACTTCTTCCTAAGGCTCTCGAGGGATCCCTAAGCATCAAAGACTTCCTAGCTAGCTTTGTTCCAGGCATTGATTTTGAGTAACAGCTTTTCCCTGGTCATCCTCAGCTCATCCCTGACCTTCTTCTCTCTTCCCTTAGCCCTATCCTTAGCAGCTTGAAGGCCTTCGTAGTCAGAGGCCTATTTTTCCATTTGCTCCTCGAGCTTTTGCACCTAAGCTCTGAGGCTCTCATTGTCAAAGATCAGCTCAGCTACCTTAAACTCGTATGTCTTCAAAGCTTTGGCAAAGTCCTCCAAAGATCGGACCCTGTCCATCAAGTTCTTCACATGAAGAGCCATCTGTGGACAAAAAACAGACATAGATCAGCACAATTTAACCGCGCTGTACTAAGAGCGAGTCTGAAAATACTTACAATGGCTGTTCCGTAGAGAGCTGAACAGAAAGAGGCCTCAAGAGACATGGTAGAGGCCCTCTGAATATCGCATTCAGGGAGAGTGAATGAAATGGCCCCAACAGCCAACTCAGCATTGTCGAAGAAGGAGTCTTCATCAGTCTCCTGGCCCTCCCTTCTTTCGACTTTGGGACTCCGAAGAGACAATTGAGATGGTTGTTCAGGCGGTCCAGGGGGTGTAAAGTCTGGTTTGATTCTAATAATCAGCCCCAATGCTCCCTAAACCTCAGAAGAGGTGGGGGAAGCCAGCCTTGGCTCGGAAGTCTTTCGGGGGGCAAACTGGGCCCCTTGAAGAGGAGAAGGGGTCAGAGATTGAGATGAGGGAGTCTGTCCTCCCCTGCTCAATGCAGGAGAAGAGGGCACTCCCAGCTTCTGCACTTTAGCTCTGTCAACGAGGCTGCCTCCAGAGCTGGTATCGGCATTCCGTTTGCCATTTTTTCTACTCTTTTTTAGTAGGTCAACTTTAGCCTGGAGTTCCTCAGGGGTAGATTTCATTACGGAGGAGCCTAGAAGATCTGAACCGAACAAGTTAAATAGGAGAGAGAAAAAAGAAGGGAAGGCAAGGGAACCAACTCAGAAAGTGTTATCTTATATGTCTTCAGGCCTAACAACTGAGATAAGGAACGGAGCTTCTACCGATACCTTAGGAGGACTGAATCCCTGTGTTACTAAGACCCAGGGCTTGATGAGCTCGGAGTACTTCTCTAGATTACACTTTTTCAACTTTCTCTTTACATTCTCGTCCTTAGCACTGAGCTCTGGTCGAATGCTTGAAAAACAACACAAGGAGAGCAAAGGTCAAAAAGGCGAATCAACGATTCCCAAATCAAAGCTCAATCAGTTCGAGTAAGGGTTCACCTAAGTTATCAAGGGCAGACCAAAGTCTAGAGATACCAAGAGTATTAGTCCTGTCAGTAGGTTGTATTCCCAGTTAGTGCCCCCAATGAAAAAGAATTGTTTCTTCCAACCTTTATGGGAGTTCGGGAGGTAAGTAATGATCTGCTTAGCCGTGGTTCACTTGAAGATATATAAGAAACCTTCTGATGAGGTGAGCTTGACATTAAAAAGATTCACAAGCAAGGAAAGGCCGGGGACCCCGAGTCCATGAATCTTGAATAAAACAAGAAGACCCACAAGTACACCCTAGAAATTAGGGGAGAGTTGAGTAGGGTAAACATTGAAGTGTTGCAAAACACTCTTGATGAAGGGATGCATAAGAAAGCGAAGACCATTCTCAAAAGTGGCCACAAAGAAACATACTCTCTTATGAACTTGGGCAACATATGGGGTGTATTTATCTGAACACTAGGCTGGACACCAGGAGAAAATCCGTAACAAGCACTGAGAATTCTCACATGAGAAGAGTCAACCTCACTAGGTTCTACGAGCTCAGCATGTCTAAAGACGACCCCTGTGCCCGTTGCGCTGTCACAAACTCCTATCCTACTCACCTTGCCCTTACCTTTGTTAGCATTAGGGGGCACAGAAAAAGACGATGGAGATGGTTCCTCAGTATTTCCCTTGGCATCAACAGCATCCACACCGGAGAAATTGTCGATTTTCTCGCCTACATCCCCTAAATCAGTGTTCTCTTCGGCAGACCTTTCCCCTAAGAGAGAAGTAGAGGAGCGTGTAACTCTAGAAGGAGTAGATATGATTGGATAGGAGAAAGGTAAACTGAAAGAACGGTAGAAATGAGGAATACTAATTAAGTACTCCCTAATAACTCTAGGGTCAGCGCAGTAGCTTCCAACAGCAAGAATTCGCATGATAGAAGACCAGTCCATGAAGTGGGGGAGAGGAGACAAGCAGTAATTTTGATTCCAAAATTAAAAGAACCGAAAGGCCCAGAAATGCAATGGCCACCTCGAATTTAAGGGATCTAGAACGAGAAAAGCTTAAAAAGGGACAAAAGGACGTAACTAGGTGGGAAAGAGCAACGAACAACAGCCTAGAGCGAAATAGAAGAAAAAGGGCAATGTGAATCTTCAATTCGAACCCACAAAACTCGATCTTAAACGAGGAATCAGAGAATTCCAAACCAGAAAGCCAAGAAATAGCAAGAAGAGAGAAGCAGCAGATAAGTTGAACAGTGGAATAGGGCAGTTCAAATAGCCGTTTGAGCATTTAAAGCCTGAGAGACGTGGACTGAAATGTGCACGAAAAACGAGAAAGTCATGATTACTAAAAATCGTCAAAAAGGCCTACCTCACGTGCAAGACAAGGTCAGCCACGTGCAGATCCTGCTCGGTTTAAAAAACGGCTCAACCCCTGTCCAAGCTAGCTTGAACTAGGGGCTGGGGGGCAACTGATGATACCTCAAACAAGCCCTAACTGTGAGCTCAGGTCAGGAGGTCAGGAAAAAAACGAGGAACTCAGAGAATCAGGGATGGAGCTCCCCTTGGAGAGATCGTAGCTGAATCGACCAGGAAAAAGCTGGATGACTGCGAAAATTGGGCCCCATGCATTAAACTCTCAACCAACTAAGATTCTCTCCTAAAATCAAGGAGGATCCCATGAATAATAGGCAAAGATCTCGGCTAAAATCCCACGAAATAGGGGACAACCTTACAAATACTATGTAATGCCTCATCGAGAAAAAGAACAAAAAAAAGAACCATAATTGGATTACGCACTGTCTTGTATTACATTCAAATAATTAATAGAGAAGAAAAAGAGCGAAAACCTCCATTTGAGAGTGGATTAGCCGAGCTCTAGAGCCGGTGAACCACTATATTCTTACTGTGCAAATTCTCCTATCCCTTAAGAAACACTTCATCACTGTCATTACGAAGTTGGCAGCCTAACTTCATCGTTGGTCCCACGCACTGTTCACTCACATTAGTCTGACATGATCAACAGATCTTTTTCGTGTAGTTTGGATTGAGACAGTTCCACAACAGCTCTTGCTGCTGCTACTGCCTGAGCTGCTAGTTCAAAAGCTGCTTCAGCTGCTGTCTTCACATCTCTATATTTACTCCTTTCTTTCATAAATCTAGAGAAGTTCTCATCTTCTTGTATTCCTTCACGCAAATTTTTAGTTGCATCCTTCAGCTTATGATCATTCAGGCCGTTCGATTCTCTGGTATGCAGTTTTTCCTGGATGTGAACACCACAAACTGCATCATTTCTCAAAAAATTAGGTGTAAAAAATTACAGAGTTTATTTTTGTTCGAAAATAAAAAGCTTCAGACTTTATCTTGGTGCATTAACTGCATTTAAGTCACGAAATGTTGTCCACTGTGTTTTATCTCAATAGAATTGCTCTTTTGTTTGTACCTTACCTTACTAATCCCAGACGATTCTCCCTCAACTCTAAGAATGATCCCATTCTCAGAAGCAATTTCGTTTAAAACTTTCAGTTTGGTTCCCCAGATTGGCCATTGAGTTGGAAACTTTTTGGCAATCTAGACAACCAAAGGAAGAGTTACAGAAAAATTGTAAACTACAGAACAAGTAACCCTGAAACAATCAAATCTACCTTAGGATTTACCCCACAGTTGTTGCGTAATTCAATAGCATAATTTGAAAAGTTCTTCCCATATTTTGCCATGAAGATCCTATAAATCTTTTGGAGTTCTGGCAATTGTCCATATCTTGAAGCAGCGAAGATCAAACTTGATATTGCCCCCTTCAGTTCATCGGGACACGCTCTACCATAAAAACAGGCACATATAACACAAATATATAATTAAAAGAAAGATATATAAACACAAAAAAGTAGTGAAATAATATATGATGTACTGTTGAAATTTGAACAGGAAATGCATCTTTTCATTTTCATTAATCAGTTATTTAGTTGTTTTTTTTTAAAATTTGTTTGGTCATTTTCAGATAATTCGAAGGGAAAGTGGGAAAACAAACTTGCTGTTCTTAATGAGCATGATCCTATCTATCAGAAGGCGGCAATAGCCTTCTATGATGCTGAAGGCATCCAATATATTCTGCTCCCTGATCACATGATCAACCTGTGAGGAAAACCATCAAAATAGTGAGAGAGAGAGAGAGTGAAAATACGCAAAGGAGAGCGCTTTCTTGGTGATGGTGGGTGAGGAGCTAAACTACATCCGAACGAGCTTGAGACCAACGGATGTGGTGATGTTTTTTGAGTATGGCAATTCGAGAGACAGCAAGAGAGACAATGGTTTTGAATTTGGATGTCTTGAAGGATTTTGATTTTCCAAAAAGGAGCATTCAATTTCTTGCCCATGTTGCTGTCTTTTTCCTTCTTCTTGTTGCAGCTTCAACCTCAACAAAAAATTATCAAGGACCTCTCGAATCTTATTAGCACTATAAACCAATATTCTGAGCTCATGATCTTAATAAGAACTCGGGTATTCAAAGATGTAAGTTATATCGTAACATCACAAATCGGTCCAGCATATCAAAATAAAGCGCGTAGTAGTGGTCATTTGTGATGAAATGAAGGAGACAAGCAACAACTTACATTAATAGACATGAAGATTAGGGCTGAGGGAAACCCTGATTAACTTTGACATTCCTTAGTGACATTTGTGATTAGTGAGGTTACTACGTTAGGCTAATCTTGGCCAAGAGGGTCAGAGGTACCAATGACCACATTGTTGTGTCATGTCCGTCTTTCCTTCCCCAACTTACCTTTAAAAAAAAAAAAATACCCAAAAATTCGAAGATGAGATGGTGTATGACATGATTTTATGGTGACATTTTCATTTCCCATCTAGCTTTATCAAATAAAGGAGTACTCGAACATTCAAATATGAGATAGTTGTATGCCAGGATTTGATGAATAGAAACGTTAATGTTCCAGCCATGTTTCAATCAATAAATGAAGCCACCTATTGCCAAATATGACTTTCCTTAAGTTTATATCTTAAAGGTCCAAAACCTACTACCAAACAGACTTCATCCAAAGAGTAATTAGAAAGTTCATTTGTTTAACAATCCAAGAGCACCTAAAACAGTGATGAGGTATGGTAATTGGTCTATTTGTGTGTCCCACATCGTTTGGATAGAGAAAGTAGTCTATAAATAATGTATCTATACTATTATGCTTTTTAAATTAACATAATAAAAGGCTACCTAAAAGAAAAATATATTTCTAACCTTATCTTATTACAACATTTTAGAGAGCTTTTATCCTAACTCATGTCTTTTTTTCAAACTTATACCCAAAAGAGAATTCTTTTTAAACTATTTCATAAATCCAGACACTTTTAAAAAGGTCAGTTGGAATAACGTTTTTAATGATAAAATGCTACTCAAAGTAACGTGTTTATGAAAAAAAACGTAAGATAAAGTGACTTTTTTTCGTTGTAATAGTGGTCATACAAAACACATAAAAACGTCAGTCCAAGTGACGTTTTCATATAAAACGTCAGTGCAAATGACGTTTTACTGAAAACGTTGGTTCAAATGACGTTTCTAAAAAACGTCATTTGCACTAACGTTTTACATGGCACCGTTTTGTCCCTTTTTTTTTTTTTTAATATAATTCATCACATTGTAATTTCTTTGAATGTTTAATTTTATTTATTGAATAATTTAATTATATTCAAAATAAATATAGTTTGATCATATCAAAATTAAAACATTGAAATGTATACACTTAATTAATTTTTAATTAACATTCAAACATAATTTTTTTTTTAATTTTGATCATGTCGACAATAATGTTTATTAAGCGATGTAAAAATTTAATTTATTCATAACCAAAAAATTGAGCATTTATTTCATAACACTTTTAGTACAATTGAAGGGGTAAAATGTTGTCAATAATGTGGTTGATGTTCAAAACAACATAAAGAATTATCGAGTACACATAAATTTGATAGGATAAGTGTCTGATGCATCATCATCCAAATCAGAGAAATTAGAAAATTCAGGATCGAAAACAAGTAATGGATCCTCTAAAATTTCAATTTCGGCATATTCAGGTTCAAATTGCTCTATTTTTGCATACTCTATTGCATGCAAACGACTAAGTCGACGCTGCATTTGATCATTTTCACGTTCAAGTCTTGATATGATATTGTCATGATTATTTGAATTCTGTGGATCATAAATATTAGCCGAACGTGCCTTCGGTACCACAAGTTCATACCAACGACAAAATACTTCAAGGTCATAATGTTTGTTATATAGCTATCACCGTCTTAGTGTAGATTTGATATGAGCACCTAGAGGCGGATAGTCAGTTGCAGACTCAACAATTACATGTCCAACTTGATCGAATGAGTGATAAGGATCGATGGGTACATTGCGAAACTCTCACTTTTGTCCATAGCACGTTACACCGTTGGAATCTGTATTTAATCCAATAAAATGAACTTTGTGCAGCGATGTTGATCAATCATTTTTGACTAAGTACCAACTAATAAATTTTTTAAGCAACAAACAAAACATTAGAATTAGATGAGTTGAGAATACAAATATTTTTTGATTAATTATCAGAATATAAAATTATTATATCATTTTTTACGAATAAAAAAACAAACATATTAGTATTCGATACAATTATAACCCCAAAACTCAAGCAAGGGTTATTGCTAGATAATTATGTTCACGTAAATACTTAATCTAAGTGATTATTAGATTAAATTAAATTTGAATTTAGAATTATCATAAAATTAAAACTAATACAACAATTTGAATTAAATTTAAATTTAGAATATCATCAAACTTGAAATAACATTACAATTAGAACTAATACAACAATTAATAAATTAAATTTAAATTTAGAATTAACATAGAATTAGAACTAATACAACAATTAGAATTAACTTTAAATTTAGAATATCATCAAACTTGAAATAACATTAGAATTAGAACTAATACAACAATTAATTTACAACTAAAACAACAATAAAATACACAAATTGCCTGTTAATTATTAGATTAAATAAAAAATTTAAATAGAATTAACATAGAATTAGAACTAATTCAACAATTGCAATTAAATTTAAATTTAAAATGTCATCAAACTTGAAATAACATTACAATTATAACTAATACAACAATTAATTTACAACTAAAACAACAATTAAGTACACAAAATGGCTAAGTGAGATACATAAATAGATAGAGAGTGATAGAGATACACTCGGACATACCCCTCAATGTTGTTGTGATGGAGGCAGTAGTGGAAGAGCAGCAGCTTCGATGGTGGGGGTCTTGCCAATTGGGGCTTTCAAATTAAAGGGCGGTGGATGTGGGTTTCAGATGGTGGTGGTTTTCATAGTTGATGGAGGTGATTTCGGATGGTAATGTGGGTGGAGATTTCAGATGGTAATTCTAGTGGAGATTTGGCTGAATGGCACATGTGGAGATAGGTTTCAGATTAAGGGTGGTGGAGGTGGGGTTTCAGCTGGTGGTGGTTTTCCCAGGTGGTGGAGGTGATTTCTAATGGTACTGGTGGTGGACTTGGGTTTCAGAATGAAGATCCTGGTGGAGGTCGGTTTCAGATTCAAGGGTGGTGGAGAAAGGTTTCAGATGCTGGTGGTTTTCCTCGGTGGTGGTCTGATTTATAGGAATTAAACAAATCCTTGCTACATGTGGATGGCTGCATTATGTTAAGTTTGTTGCTTTTGCATTTGATTGTTTGGTCCGCGAGTTTATAGTAATGCACAGATAACTGGGGAAAGACAACTTCGTGTGTTTGTTTGAGGTAGAGTTTTTCAAGTTACACCCGCTACTATAGCCGAATTTTTTTAGCCTATGCAAAGACATCTCAACCTGCAATACTCCTACACCGAAGTGCCTAATTTGACTGATGTAGGGATAGAATTGACGGGTAATCCAAAATTTGTATGGCCACATAAATACATAAAACAAGGGAATTTGATAGAGAAGTACCGAATTTTGAATTTAATTATAGTAAACAGTTTGTTACCCCGAGTTCATAAAAATCAAATATACACTGAGCAAGCCTACTTCTTGTATGCCGTTGGGATGGGACACACGATTGATCTTCTGAACCTTATTCTGGATCAAATGTTGATTACTGTACAAGGAAAGAAGTCCTCACTCCCATATGCTATGTTAGTATCTCATATTTGCAGGGCTAAAGGAGTGATAACAAATCCCTCATAGAAAACGGTGGACCATTTTGCAACATCAGACAAAAATTTTTTAAAGAAAAGCCATGAAATCTAGCTACAAGAACAACCCAAAGCACCGCCAGCCCCACAAGAAGTGCCATTCCAAGTACCTGAAGAATTTTTTCTACAACAACATCCTCCACCACAAGAAGACCAACCATACATACCAGTGGATGACCAGACTGATAGACAAATTTTACTAGGATTGGAGACCACTGTTACACAGCTTGGGACCAACATCACCCAAATCAATCAACGCATGACTGCTTATGAACATAATCAAACTGAAATATTAAGGCTACTAAGAGAGCGTTTTGGTGGAGGCCCTTCAACTTCTTGATCAGAGACACTGGAGATTCTACGAAGCTTTGCTATATTGCACTCATCTTTTATTTTATACACATAAACTTACTTTATGTTTTGAAACTGTTGTTGATTTTGAACTTGTTTGTGTTAGTAAGTTAGTTTTTGTCAGTTAATGTGGAACATATGTTTTTAAGTTAGGAAGACTATTTCATATGACTCACAGTTAAATTAAATTATTATTCTACTACTTTGCAAGGATACTCTCAATCTGATCACGTAGGATTTTCACATTTTAGTTGTGTATTATCTTAATATTTTTAGTTAAATTTATTCTTTTGAGCACAATTACATTTCTTTATTGTTAAAAAACTTTTGAAATATTATCCACTCTTTGCATATATAGTGAAGATGCAAGATCTATTGCAAATTTTGAGCTAATCTTTCTTGGAGAGATATTCTACATCTACTCAAATAAGAATATTCAATTCAGCGGTAAATTTTCTTTGAATAATCTTATTATTTTATTTTGATTAGCACTCATTCAATTATATTATTGGCATTGTCTTTGAAATTTTTATTTTAGAGATTATATAGATGTATGATTTCAGGAAAATGATCTTAGGTCATTTTTGATTGATCTTGAGCCTTAACCATTTCTTTTACAAAATTATATCCTTAGTTATCCGTGATTGAGCCTAACAGAATATAAATTCTTTTCATGACACCCAAAAAAACACCTGAGCCACATAAAAATATATTTAACCTACCTTTGCTATCTAATTTTCTTGCACCCTCTTCTTAATCAGTAGG